GTCCCCAAGATTTGAAACTTCCACAGACTGTCCTTCTATTCCTAAATTTAAAATAAAATACACATTAATAGAAATTAATTGCCCTACTTTTCTTAAATATACTACACAGAACTCCTTCCAAAGTTACATATATTTTCCTGTTTTCTACCTCCTATCTTTACCATCTCTCATTTGCTAAGTGATGTCACAATTCACCTCTTCTTTTTTCTTTTTTGAAATATCAGATGGTAGACTGCATTTATTCAGGTATACATACAACTTAACGGAAGGATGTAGAGGTTGGGATGAGATAAATGTAGATGAAATATAACATGCAAATGATTCTCCAATGAGTTGGAGAAAAGAAAGATGATATTAAATGAGAAAAGTCAGCCCCACTACAGGCCAGTGCATCTCTTGTCTTAACTGCTATTCCCCAACAGAGCCATTTGACTTCTTCACCAGATAAATGTAGATGAAATATAACATGCAAATGATTCTCCAATGAGTTCTAGAGGAGAAAGATGATATTAAATGAGAAAAGTCAGCCCCACTACAGGCCAGTGCATCTCTTGTCTTAACTGCTATTCCCCAACAGAGCCATTTGAACCTACTTCTTCACCATTCTCTCCTTCACACACTGGAAATGATAAGCAGAAATTTTTATACTTTGTTGGTTCAAGAGACAGTGTATTATTGCCCATGATCTATATCTAGGAAAAGAGATGGGAGATCCAATAAGAGGATTTATGGCTGAAACTGATATTACCATATTAGTATTTTGGAGTAAAATCTGGAGCTCCCGCGTTTGGATTAAGCCTAAAGTGTTTACTAAATTCTATCTATCATGCTGCCCTAACTGCATTGTTAGGTCCTTGGTGAAGCCTTGGGTCTATTTCAGGGATGGAGAGAGGAGTTATAAAGAAACCTAGCATTCTTCATACAGGTCAATTGTGTATAAAAGATATTACAGGATCTTCTAAGAAAGAGAGCAATTAGGAAAGCGGTCGAAAGAAGAAAGGCTGGCCCTATTCTATTTCATACAGTGGAATTTTTCTGAGATTCCAAGACACTTACTGGACACTTACCTGCAGTTGTTACTCATTACCTAATTCTCTCTACTCGCACACAATCTGTCACTCTGTGCTGATAACCAATACACTCTTTAGACCAGCAGTCCCCAATCTTTTTGGCACCAGGGACCGGTGCTCCTACGAGAATCTAATGCCTGATGGTCTAAGGTGGAGCTGAGGCGATGATGCTAGTTCTGGGGATTGGCTGCAAATACAGATAAAGCTTCATGGCCTGGGGATTGAGGACCCTTACTTTACATGAAGAGGGCTGTGAAATGAAAAATAGGGAAAGGAAGGAAGAAGGGAGTAAGAAAGAGTTTTTCTAGGAGCCAAGAAGAAATCCCCAGAGCCTATAGAAGGTAACGGCAAACAGTTAAAGGAAATTTGAATATGTGGGATTTGTGGGAAAAAATGTCAATGCAACAGGTTTAGGCACTATAGGTTTATTTGAATAACAGTAGAAATTACGAAGTATAAATAATAATATGGTGGCAATACTGAACAGGCTGAAATCTCCATCAACAGGATTTTCGGAATGCTCACAGGAGTTCTTTTCTGGTAGGTGTTGCTCTTCCAACTCGGCCTCAATCAGAGCTGACTTCAGTTCCTTACTATGTTCATAAAGCTTTTGAGTATGGTCTCCATGAGTGGGGGTACCTTTTTCCCGCCCCTGCTTTATGGCCACAGTCTGAGCCACTAACCTCTGTCAGTTAAATATACACCTATATCTCCTCCTGAGAATTACCAGAAGAACCTACCAAGATAGCTGATCCAACTATCTCTGCTACTATTGGAAAGTTAAAAAAAAAATCACATACACTGAACAATGGTATCTTCTTTGAACTAGGAAATCTATTACCTTAAATGCAAATTTTTGTTTCAGTATGCTTATATTAACCAGAATATTGTTCAAAAACCAAATGAATTGTATACTGAATTTAATAGACAAACTTCTACAAATGAACCAAAAATACTCCAAATGCAAAATGCAGGAAGAGGGATGATACTTACTACTCATGTAGCACTGGGGAAAACAGCAGGTAACGAGTAAACTCTAATCTACTAAAGCATTTGTAGGGTTCTTAGCACTGCTTTATGTTTTTTTCCTCTCTGGGTATTCTGTCAAGGGTCAACAGAATACATGATATAAAATAAATAGTCTTAATAAAGGAGAGCATTGTTAATTTCAAGTCATGGACCTCCGGAAAACAATTACAAAAAACATGCTTCTGAAAAAATTAATAATTTCACCTTACCTCTAGAAATAATAAATTATTTCCATTGAGAAAATCATCTTTCTCCAAATCAGTATTATGCTCAAATCCTGTTGTGGCAATGAATGCTTAAAGCTCCTTTAAAAAGAGCCTCTATGTCCATTGACAGTTCGGCAAGACATCAATTTAAATTCTGTGCCAGAAGAGACTTATTTAACACAAGATCAAACTTAATATACATATATGAATAAACCAAATAAAACCTGTCATGGTAATAAATGCAAAGAGGTATCCTTGAGTTCTCAAAGAGAATTATTTTTTAAAGAAGAATATGTGGGAAGGAGAGAGAGAATTGCCAACTTTTCCTATTCTGCACCAAGAATTCCGTATGTGAACCATGCTATTCCCAAAGAAGCTCATGGAATTGAGAGGAGAGGTCAC